AAGCAGGGGCTGCCCGCCTTCCGCCAGGCCCAGCCCGGCCGCGAACTGCTGGAGGAATTCCAGCGCCGAGAGCCCTACAAGTACCTGCAGTTTGCCTACTTCAAGGTGAGGCCCGGCCCTTCGTCCCTCTTCCCTCCCGTCCCGTCTCTCTGCGCTACACCCGAGGTTCCCCGAAGCCCGGCTTGGTGCGGTGGCACCCTCCAGCCAAGCCAAGTGCGCCTGTCAGCGTCGTGATGGAGGGAGACAGCACGGCGTGTCCCTGCACGGCCTCGATGGACACGGGTGCCTTGCGCGCCCAACACTGGAAAAGGCTCCTGTCGCGCCAGCTTCTCGCCTGGCCCCGGAGCAGGTTACTCTGGCCCACAGCCTCATTCCCCGTTGCCTCCTCCATACCAGTTGTCATCCACCTCATGCCCATTTTCCCCCCTCCCTGGTCGGGCCCCCCAGTCCCTGCCCTCCCGGGCTGCCCACCCTGCATCTCATCATCTGCTCGCCGCACAGTCCTTTAGCCCCTTCCTCCCACCCGCCTCGTGTAACCCACAGTGCCACCACCCTGTGCCTGGTTTTCCCCCCTCCTTGCCCATGTTGTACCATCCTGCTCACTCTTCACCAGTTTTTCCACAACTCATCCAGCGCGTCCCCTCGGTTAGTCCCGCCGTTTCTCCTGAGACCCCCAGCCACTGCACCCTGCCTCCTTGTCCTGTCAATGTGCTCTTCCTACCCCTGCCCCTCTCCTAAAATCATAGAGTCATAGAACGGTTTAGATTGGAAGGAACTTTAAAGATCATCTAGTTCCAACCCCCCTGTCATAGGCAGGGACACTTCCCACTAGACCAGGTTCACTTAGGAATGCATTTCCACAAAGCATTTTTTATTTTAATTGGTTAAAATTGAAGCCAAGAATGAATTATGGACTAAGCAAAAAATGAGAGACCTGTCAGCCTACCAACAAACAGGGTTGAAAGATAAAGCATAAAGCAAAAATCGGCGGTTGAAGTGTGACACTAATGCTGGCCCAGGAATGGTATTTACTCTGCTCTTGGATCAGCCAGGGCTGGGGGTCACACCTCTATTAACAGATTTCATCCCATTTTTCTAGCTTCTTGTCATCCTTCTGTCCAGGATCTAATTGACAGTTTTCTCCCTCCTTCTCATCTTCATCTTCTGTTCTCTAAATCAAGGTCCATCCCTCATGCCATCCCCTCAGATGATACTGCAATTACTTGCATTTCAAATAAATGGGTCGTCTGTGGGTGGAGAAAACAAGCTGAACTCTTTGGTTAGATTGTTTTCTCTTTTAGGGATTCACTCCCAACATATCCCAGTGTACATTATATAGGGTTGTATCCTTGAGCATTGTTTTTGAGATTGCTGCTTGAAAACGGACATCTTCTTAACTGTTGCTGTATCTTATTTGTAGGGGTGCTGTTTTCTCATGAAAATATTCAATGGTTTCCCCAAATTGCACAAGCAGAAGTAGGGAAATGTGTTCTCATAAAACAGGGACAGTATCCAAATGCACAGGATCACACCGGCATAATTCTGTGCATTTAAGGCCATCCCTAAGACCATACAGAAGAACTTACCTTTATACGTTAAAGCCTCTGCACACACAGAACAGAAGGTATCAAACAGGGGAGCTTTCTTTTGAATAACAGAGTGGGCAGGCACTCCTCTCATTCTCAAATACCAAAATGACATCACCACAAATATTTCTATTTCTTGTCTTACTTTTAACTATTCATTCCCCCCTTGTGGTACGTACAAAGTTTGCAATGTATGGATCACAGCAAAACCCATTCCTACGTACCGTTTCTGATACAGTTAGGTAACTGGCAGGCAGGAATGTGAGAGGGAAACTGGAGGAACTCCTCCCTCTCCTTTTAAACTGTTTTTCAGTCCCATTTGCAGTAGGTTTGAGCCGTGCAGTGTGGTGGTTTTGCCTTTAGTGTTAGTTGTTTATGTTGTCTTTCTTATTAGACTGTAGTCCAGCTCTGAGCTCTTGGCACTCACTGGGGGAGTTCTGAATGGGCCTTCTAGAGGTACAAACTGCTACATACAAAGGATTTTTTCCCGGCTGGTGGTTTTCTGAAGAAAGGAATGTCACTTCCCCACCCCCCCACCCCACCAACAGCATTTATAATATAGGCAGAAGGGAGAGGGAAACTCTTTACGTCATTTTTTTAGAGTGACCATGTGTTTATCCAGGTGGGTTCCACAGTGAAATTTTGCCACGTCTTAGATCCTGGGAGTAGATGTTTCTGTGCTGCTGCTTGCTCCTCTGGAGGGAGCTTTCTCGTAGCCACCGAGTTCACTTAGGAATGTGTTTCTACAAAAGCTCTTTTTTTTAATTGGTTAAAATTGAAACTAAGAGTGAATTATGGACTAAGCAAAAATGAGAGACCTGTCAGCCTACCAACAAACAGGGTTAAAAGATAAAGCACAAAAGAAACCAGGCATTTGACGAAAGTGCAGCTGAGATTTCCCTTTGCATTTAGCACTGCCTGGGCTGTCTGGAAGCGCATAGTTTTGGGACAGCCAGGAAGGGCAGCTGGCAGAGTTCCAGTGCCGGGACACATAGCGGCACAGCGGCAAGAGCTCATGTTCGGGTTGAAGTCTTTTCTTTGGTGCAGTTGTCTCTCAAGTTTCTTTCTGAAATGAAAGGGTACCTTTTATGGATGCAAACAGAAGAGTGCGTGTGCATACGTGCTTGTGTTTCTTGCTTATAGTTTTATATGTACACTTCCTTAAGCTATTTCAGATGTGAGGTGGAACTGTATATATCGCCTACACATCAGTACACTGAATGGGTTGGTATGGGTCTTGGCTTACAAGGGAAAAGGTTTTAACATTTAAAAAATACTTGAGACTTTTACTTTCTCACTCTTCTTGAATGTGTCTATATATACTATATAGTTTATAAAAATACGTATATATATTAAATATATAAATGTGTGCACACAGAAGTGCATATGTATTTGGCACATGCAGCTGTAAATGAGGAAAACATACTTCACAAAGTATCTCTAATAGGGTTTAAAGTTAGTTTAAAAATGGGTACAGAAAATCACATAGTACATTAGGACTCAATTACTGAGCAAGTCCCTCCTGTTTGCTGTAACTTTGTAACACCATCAGGAAGATATATTATTGTAATATTGTCTTCTGTGCTGCTAGCGACATAAACACCATGTAAACATGGTAAGTGATGACTCCTGCCCAGTAGCCATAGATTAGTATCAGTAATTGCTGATTAATTCCACACAGGAGCAACAGTATAATCTTGTGCATTGTCAGCTTTATGAACAGGGGAGGAGGAAGGGAAAAAAGTCTGCTTTTTGATTTGCAATCATCATCTATGCTATCTGCCACAATAATAGACTTTTAAAATGAAAAAAAAATGTTCCTAGTGATGCAGGTAGGAGTAAAACTGAGAAGAATTGTATCAGTCTTCTTGTGCCGTTGTATCTGCTGGGGCTGTGGTTTCAGTAGAAGTAAGTTTGGGAATATAGAGTCTGCAGGAAAGTTCATTGACAAAGACTAGGAAACTTTAAATTGTTTTTTTCCAATTAAACTTTTTTCCCCTCCTTCCTTCTCTCCCCATCCCCGTTTAGGCTAATAATCTTCCAAAAGCTATTGCAGCAGCTCACACATTTCTTCTGAAGCATCCAGATGATGAAATGATGCAAAGAAATATGGCCTACTATAAGAGCATACCTGATGCTGAGGAGCATATTAAAGACTTGGAGACAAAGCCTTATGAGGTATGCTTTTTATTCAGAGTCTGGTCTTTTGGAACTGTTCTATTACTCCTCTTATTGTGCGAGATTCAAGGATCTCCTTTGCTTACATGTTCTCAGTTCTTACTCTCCTTTCCCTCTTGCTGTCTTCCTCCATCATCTCTGTTCTGCCTTCTTGATGCATTCAGTAATTCTCACCTCTCATGCTTTTCACTGTTCCATAAGTCACAGGAAATCACAGACAGTGGCACACCTGAAAGGTACTACATGCACATCACTACTGGAGCTAAGCAGGTGCAGAGAGTTATTCAAATGCATGAGTGCTTTAGCAGTAGAGCTTAAAATAACTAGGACATTTGGGTTTAAGATTCCATTGAAAATGTCTGTCAAAACCTGTGCTTTACAATCACACTGTCCAGCAGGCTTTTCTGTTGATCTGAAATGGAATTACGTACTCTGGTAAAATCCATTAGTCATCTATATCTGTTGTCCTCACATTAGTTGCATAACAGCTTATACAGTAATCCAGAGAGGCAGAGACATCATTAACGGAATTTGAATTTACACACAGCTTTCCAGTTACTGCTGGTTTTCATTCCTGCCAATTTTTCAGAATCTCTTTGTGAGGGCTGTGAGAGCGTACAACGGTGAGAATTGGAGAACATCTATCTCGGACATGGAGCTGGCTCTTCCTGATTTCTTCAAAGCCTATGATGACTGTACAGCAGCCTGTGAAGGCTCCCGAGAGATCAAAGATTTTAAAGACTTCTATCTCTCCATTGCAGGTGGGTGGTTAGGAAATAATATGGAAAAATGTCCCAAAAGTGTGTTTCAGTTTATCTGTAGGATTGGCTACCAAAGTCCCGTTCCTCAGTTTGCAGTGTGAAATGCACGTGGTGCCCCCTGCTCAGTTCGAGCCAATATGAGTTTATTAGATTCACTGAAAACTGCTTGAGTTTGTGTTTACTTTTTTTTTACTTTTTTTTTTCTTTTTTTATCCCTGTAACATAAATGATGGCTGTCGTAAAATCAGAACAGAGAGTTCTTACGTTAACATGGAAATTTAAGTGCATGTCAGAATAAGACAGATGTGTAGGTAATAACAACTACTCCATCCAGCTAGCAATGGTTATCCAGACAGGTCTCTTGACCGTACTTTCAGTATCAGTTTGGCCACCTTTGAGGCTCAGTGGTTAGCTTGCCTTCAAAATCTGCTTTGGTGTTTGTGTATGCCTGGTGATACGTATCTCCTTTCTCATAAATATGACAAGGTTCCGTTGCCTACTTTTCATCTTTCCTAAAGATTTTTACTAGCAGATAAGATTTCTTTTTTCTTAAGTATGTAGCTTAAAAAAAAATCCATTGCTTTGCAAAGGAAAAGGGACACCACCTTTTTTGATTGTTGTCAAAATGGCAATACACATTTCCTATGCTCTTTGGTAGCGAAAAAAACCAAATAATTTCTCCAGTGCTCTGGGCTCAGTGTTGCTCATAATATTTGTGTGGAGAATGCCTGCATGTTTTCTCAACAAACTTAAAAACACAAAAAATGCACCAGAATTTCTAAGTTGCCAGAAGGAAAACCAGCCCAACTTTTTGTCCTAACACCGTCAGATGTGTTGATGAGGGGAAACATTTGTGAAATATGTTGATACATAAAGGTAAAGTACAAAAGCAGCTCCACAGTGTCTCACCAGGTGGCACTGGGATCCACCAGTACAGCTGATGTGGAATAGCTATGGCAGGCTATTCTGCAAGCCACGCTTTACTCTTGGGCAAAGCAGGCAGGTGCCTAGGACAGCAGATAAGGAGTGAAGGTCATATCACGGGGTAAAGCTCTGACCCCAGTGGGTTAGAGCCCTGACGTCAGGGTAACCCCCAAGCCACTGTAAAGAGTACAGCGTCCACGCTCAGCTGTGATTGGCACTTGCTGTCATCCTTCCTCTTCCTCCTTGGAAGGAAAGGACAATTCCCAGCAGTAGTGGTGAGAAGGAAAGGTAGGAGTTACTGCATGATGTCATCACAGTCATTTGCATGCATTTCAAATATTCTGTTCTTGAGATAAGAAAATTCAGATTTACTTGCACTGCCTGGGCTGAACTGTACTCTTCCTCTAGGGAGATATATTCTGCCTCTGAGGTTTTTGCTGCAGACAGTAGATGTAGCAAAAAATGTTAATCAGAAGTATTTGGTGATTGCACCAGGTAGGTATTTATCCCTGAGCAATGAGCCAGCTGTCCTCGTTGCATGGGATCGCTTCACTGAAGGACTTGTGTCTCTGACTTTAAATGCTGGCTGGAATTGAACGCTGCTGTGTCTGGAGGCTCCACTGCTCTCATAAAAGACGGGTCTGGTAATTTCATTTGGCCAATCATTTGTGGTTAGCTTCAGCATCCTTCACGTGAGGAGATGTCAGAGATAAAAACGGGAAGAGGCCTTTGCTGTTCTTTTACCTTGGTCACAGACTTGCTGCGCGAGCTTAGATAACCTGTGTTCACCTGCCAAATGTGGCTAACAGGGAAACTAAGGCTTTAAAAGATTTCTGTTCAGTGTTGTTGTCTAATGTTACATATCCTGAAAACACTTGTAATTCTTTGATGGAAGGTTTTCTCGGAATGTGTTTTCTTGAAGATACGATCACTTCTAGTCGTACCCCATTGTAGCAAGCTTTTGTAGACCGGGTAAGCTTGTGAACATAAACATTTCTGGTTGAAAATTGTTCTGTAGTGATCATCATATTCATGTCTGTCTTCTCTTTTAGAAAATCCACACTGCAGGCACAAAATGCGGCCATCTCTGGAGGTTTATTTTGCAATGATCTGCTGTATTTGTCTGTGACGCAGTTGTACTCAGCAGCATGGGGACCTTATTCATGGAATAGTTTAATGAATTGGAAAGACTCTTAAAACTTAAAAGATAGCACTGTTAAGTTCACAGTTAGGAAATAACGCAATACTCCGTAACAGTCTATATAAAACCTACCACCACAGACTACCGCCTGTAGGTGTCAGTAAAACCTAACTGCTTAGTTCTCGGCAATTGCAGCTTTGATACATTTCAAGTCCAGACTGCAGTGATTTTTACAGAAGGGCTGAGTACCAGTACTTGATATGTACTTCAGGTGGACTTGTAGATGCTCAGTACTTCCATGCAGCAAGATCTGGACACACAGGACTCAGGAGAGCTTTATAAGGCCAAACTTTAATGGGTAGCTGATGGGAGGGGTTATAATAATTCACCGTGCGCTATCCATATCCTGTGTTGTTTTCTTCCTTCTAGATCATTATATTGAAGTCCTTGCATGCAAAGTGCAGTGCGAGAGTAACCTGACACCCATTATAGGAGGCTTTGTTGTTGAGAAATTTGTGGCCACCATGTACCATTACTTGCAGTTTGCTTATTATAAATGTAAGTAGTGATTTAATGTGCTTAAATAACATCGGGATGATGTGGGACAGTTTCCATTCATAATCTTTTCCCTCTAGTTATATTGCTTTAGGATGTAAATAGCGGACTCCAAAATCTGCATTTTAACCTGTTCTGGGTCAGAAAGTCTGAGCTGCCTGGCATCTTTTTCTCCCTGTATGACTGTAGTTAACAGACGTGGGAGATAAACATTATGTATAGAGCCTGTGCTCACAAAATTATCCATGACAAAATAAATTGCTGAACATAAGTCCCATAAGGGCTGGATTTTGCCCCTCTGTTTTAAGTTATACATGGTTGTGACTGGTCTCCACTTGGGCGTTAGAAAAATGAAGTTACAGAGTAAGTGTGATCTGATCCATCATTGCCCTTCATCCTTTATATGATACCTACTGCCAGCAAAGTTGCTTATGCTTTTCAGAGTTCCATATAAATGATAAATGTTGACATAAATGATAAATGTTTATTGTATGTGTTTCAGATGTAACAGAAGATTTTTCTTAAACTTCTAACTCATTCAGTTAGATAGAAGAAAGATTGTAACTTCAAGACAGCACATTTAACATAACACCGCTTATTCTATGGAATAAACAATTTTCAATTTACTATTCAGAATTTCTTCCACAGACAAAACCTACAGAATATTTCATACCAGTTGCCTTTTTTTTTAGTGGATTCTTATAACCCTGTTAGAATGGTGCACGTGGGGCTAAATGGGTTTTGAAGAAAGAGGGGACCACTTAACAGAAATTGTATTGTTATGATGCTCAGTGATTACACATTTGATAGGTAAATCATTCAGTGGATTTTGTGGTTTCTTGAGGAACTGCTTGCACTCTAAAGAACATGTGTAGCCATTACAGCTACTCCTGCAGGCTCCAACGTCAAAGGGAAGACACATCCAGCCATGTAGCAGCAAGCCATTAATGACTTTTGCTTGTTGGTTGACTACACATTTTACACATTGACTCTTCCCTCTTTGTCGATTCTAATGCAAAGAAGTGGTCTTTTTTTTTTATTTAGTTTTTTGTTTGGTTTTTAATAAGTGCACCAATGGGGATCACCAAGCTATGGGCTTGGTGATCCCCATTCATACTGGGATACCTGGGAGGGACATTTGCTTGGGATTTTCACAGAAACCTTCAGAGGTAATTCCCCATTTTTTAATCATGGCCTTCCCTGTTTCAGACCACAAAAATAGCGTATCCTTTCTGGGAAGCAATTTTTTTTTTTTCTGTGCATCTGGTGGGGAGGTAGAAAATGGGTCCTGTTTCCATCTGAGCTTTTCAGAGCTTGGATAATAGTAGGAATTTGTTCATTTACCTTATCTGGATTTTTTTTGTGTTTATTAATTAGTGAATGACATGAAGAATGCAGCTTCTTGTGCTGCTAGTTACCTTCTGTTTGACCAGAAAGATGAAGTAATGAAACAGAACATGGTATATTATCAGTACCACAAAGACAAATGGGGACTTAAAGAAGAGGATTTTCAGCCCAGATCGGTAGGTGAATTACTTAAAATGCCTTCTAGACACATTCAGATATTTTCCTGAAACTCACTGGGTCAGAGGTTTTGAAAATGGGGGTTGTCTATTATTTCTGGAGTTAAACACATACTGTTTTATTGAAACCATATAGAAAGTTGTACAGAGATGCATACTATGTAATGTAGATGGTGAGTGTCATTATAGTTCTTCCCTTTGTGTTGAAATATACTACAATAGGATATAATATGGTATGACAAGTAAATTCATGCTGGTACTTGTCTGCCACTTATGTATATTTATATCTCTATCTACCTCAACAAATAAAGCAGCTGGCCCCTGAAATCTCCTGATGAAAGGATCACTCCAGTGACATTCAGGCTTTTTTGTCAATCGCTTGTTATTTGCCATCATGTAATTGCTCACCTGCTTGTTATTTCAGCTTCTGTGTGCATTGAAATGTGTTCAGATAAGATAACCCCAGCTAAACTCACTTTCCACTTACTCCATTTAGAACATAGTTGGGTGGCTGAGGATGGAAAAAGGTTCGTGACCATATTGCACCTAATTATCTGAGTTAGAATCTTGCTGCAAAGAACCCACAGTAAACATCAGTCCATCCAGCAGTGATTGTGGTCTGGCTTTGAAAAATTACTCCAAAAATGACCTTCTGTGCTGTTCTTAAATTTCCATGTCCAGGGAAATTTTACACATAAAAGCGTATTTTCTGTGTTTATGGAGTCCTACTCTGACAATCAAGTTGGATTTTCATTTCTTGTTGCCAGGATTTATGTCATGCAACTGAATTAACTGTTTTGTGACACATGAGTGTCTCCTTAGGCATCAGTGGTTTGTGCTGTACAAGTAGTTAGTCATTAGCAATGCACGTTTCACAAATTAAATGTAGTGCCTTCTCTTTCTCTTATGGCATGACTTCCCTGTGGAAGAGTCATTTAAGTTAACGTAGCTGAAGCAACAGTGGTGATGTTCCAGTTGCCTCTCCCATGTTGCTTCTTCAGACACCTCAGTCACCAAGACCTGTACTGGCCCAAAAGTATATCTCTTGACTCGTAATGCGGCATAAAGCTCAGTACGTGTATGTAGTGCTTAGGTGACGGGCTTTATCTGTAGCAACACTACAGAGCAGTTCCCGTGTGCACCTTCTAGCTTGCAGTGATTTGATAATTACATTTTCCTTCCTCTCAGGCCAGCCAGCTCAAGTCAAAAATACCACTCCATTTAAGTTGGTTCTTTTTGTTGTGGACAGCAGTTGGGTTATGTGCAACACACCTTATCTCACACTGGAAACGCAAACCTGCCCTGCAGGGCCAGCTGAGACAGAAGACATCGAAAATGCATTTGGTTCTTTAAGGCAGCAGCAGCAGCGAGTCTGATCTCGGAGGGGAAAGGGACCACTCCTTTGTCACTGCTTTTGGGAACAGAACTGTGCTTTATAGCCATATTGGAGACAATGTTTGATGGTGATGGGAGTGAGAGGTAATAACAGTGTAAAACTGCAAGCCACAGATTGGACATACATGTGCAGAGAGGGCAGAACAAGGGCCCTACACATTAACTCTGAATGTTTCATTGATAACTTCTCAGGAGCTGGGGACTACAGATAGTTTAATTTTTAAATATGAAATATTAAATGCACACAGCTGTATTTTCTTGTACTTTGATCCATGTAACTGTGAACAGAAGTTGCTTGCTGACCTAATCATTTGCCATGGAAACCGTAATGCCTCTGGTTTATTTTCACAAAGTGGTAATGGGGTGACAGCAGCATTCGGCCCTGGCGCTAAGCTTTAGATGTTCTTGTGAAAGAACATCTTTTCCTCCCCAAAAAGAGTTAAACAGGATAATCAAAGTAGATCACTGTTGGTATTCACAAATACGGGAGTAGGTGACTGAGCTGAACTGTGCTGTCTGGCAAACATCCGGGGAAGCGAGGAGGGACAGGTGAGTGAATGTGCAGAATTTCCCTAGCCCAGACTCAGGCTGCGGTGGTGAGTCATTATCATGCAAAATAGCTTAGTGTCTCTTTTTCCCAGAACTGCCTGCCGCCATACGCCAGCGTGCTGGGAGACAGAGGCTTTCTCACGTCCAAAGCCCGCTGGAATGCAGGCACAGGCTGCTGCTCAGCTCTGGCAGTCTCGTTCCTTATTCTCAGACTCGCCAATGCTTTGAAACATGAGAAAGAGGAGAGTGCTTTGTTCTTTTCACACTGATGGAGCCTGTGCTTAGAAAGATGCACAGAAGACATTGGATAAGCTGCTTGTTGTTCTGCTGTTTCCTTTCTCAAATGTTATAACCCGCCCTGGGTTTTCTACTAAGTCTGAGTCTGACTTCACTGGAATAGTTTCAGGTGACATGTGATGACACTTCCTTGTCTTGCTACCCTAAAGTAACATAGAAATTTTGATTTGATAGGAGGCAGTTCGATACCACAACATAACCACACTCCAGTTGGAAATGTATGAATTCGCAAAGGAGCATCTGATGGATGATGATGAGGTGAGTTTTCTTGAAAGGAAATCGTGGTCAGAAAACCAGCAATCACATTAAAGTGAAGATGATACGTAGATGGAATTCCAGGATTTAGGTAATATGAAAAAATCCTCTTGTACCTTGACCACTTTATCACAAACTTTTCTTTTGTAAATGGAATATAAGAAACAAGCCCAAAGAACATCGTGTACCATTTTAAAAAAATATGGGCAGTATTAACACAAAGGTAAATACAATGCACTGAGCCCACAAAAAAAGAAAATGCACTTTGCAAGCTATGACACCAGGGGGCAGAGACGTAGTAAATATATTTAAACCCAGCGTTTTTCAGGGGTTCGTTTTCTGTTGTTTAAATTAGATTTAAAGAGCCTTATAATTTTGTGCAGAAGTAACCACCTAAATTGTCATTTTTGTCAAACTGAGGTCTTGTTATCTGGGTTTTTTTTTTCTGCACAGTCACATTTTTGTCACTCAGTCTTGCTTCCTAAATGGTTGGAATTCATGGCCGAATAACATATAATGACTACTATTACACTGGAAATATGTAAAGTGTATTTTTTGTGCAAGAAATGTAGTTAAATTGTTGAAAGAGCATTTCTTTGTCTCCCACAGCTGAAATTAAAGTTTAAGTCAAGGAGGCTTTGGATTGTCTTTTGTTTGGCTTTGTTTTTGGAACCTTTCATTTAAGGGTTCAAAAAAGTCTTCAAATGATGGAATAGTTCATTGCTGGCATTGGCAAAGAGCTGTGTTCGGTTATGGCATGGGTACTTGTAATGAGCACTGCTGAGATCTTTTTTAGTTAGAAATTAGAAAGGTGGTTTATGCTAAAAAAAAAATAATCACCTTTGCAATTTTTATGTTATCCAGCACATAGGGAGAGGTAATATTTTATAGGGGAGAAGTAATAACATGTCTGTGCTGCCTTCTGTATGCTAGTGACCTGAAAACAACTCTATACATAAAATTCCATTGCATCGTTACCAGACTTTAGGAAGACTTTCCATTGTCATAAAAATCTGTGAAAGACAATTTAATAAGCTTGTTATAAGGTTAAGCTTAGGTGAGGACTAGTGTGTATGGATTTTCATCAGGGTGTGAAATACTTGAGCACTTTTTTTATATTCGCTTGTTGGTTGGTGCTTTGCCCATAATGTTTTCTTATGTTAGGCATAAACTTAATTTGTAATTTTCTCCTTTCACATCTGCTGCTTCAATACACAGGGATGAGTAATTAAGGAAGGGGAGAAGCACTTTGTTGTGAGGGCTTTCCCTAGATGTTGTCACACGAAGGGATTATATAAACAATCTTCAGCCTCATGCACTGTGTATAGAATAAACAAGCATTCGTTTCCTCACATTCATTCCTGTAGCCCATTTCACCAGTGCAATTATAAATGACCTTGCAATCTGCAGGAGGGAAGTACAGTGGAAACGTCAATTAAGCTTTTGAGAAAGTGTCAAGGAAGTCACATTACACTGGATTATATGTTTGGGTTGAGCAACCAAAAAAAATTACTGGGCCTGGTCATACCACAGATATCCCTACCCCACACTCTCATCGTATGAGGAAAGTTACCATTCTCTTCTTCTGGGGAAAAGTTGAAGGGCTTCTGTGCCCTTCCTTGCTTGGGCTGAAGAACCTGGGAGGGATGGAGGCTGTCCATGCTCTGGCTTGGCTCTGGCTTTTGGTAGTGAACACATAAATCCCTGGCTACCAGAACTTGTCTTTGGCTGCAGGAGCCTTCCAGCGAGTCCAGACAGAGCAGGAATAGCACAAAGGTAAAATCGCTACCTTGCAGTTTCTGCTGTATGGGCAGGACTTGGTAGTGCAAGTGGAATTTTTTTTTTAATATTTCTCCTGGCACAGATAGAAAAGTTTATTCCGTAGGAATGCTGAAAACTGATGAAAAACCCAGATAAGGTGTTACAGTAAAAGCTTTATGAAAAATTGTTAAGGATGGAGGCAACCTCTCTTTTTAGTGCACTCTGTTTATTCAAACCATGTGCATCTTGGGCCATAGCCCATACCTTTTGTGAGCTCCTGTGGTCCATGTTTGCTGTCTGTGAAGTTGCTTGTGCGCCAACAAGCCCGTAAAATAATCTGCTCAAAAAAATCATTCTCTTTCCTTGAGTGAAGCAAAAGGATTGATGTGGCAAAAGGATCTCTTCCTATGCAAATATGTCATTATTCCCAAGTGAAGAATCTCAATTTATTCAGACTTCTCAGTACTCCTGTCTCCCAGATCATCCGAGTGTCTTTTTAAATCCTATTAGCAAAGCTAGTGAGAACATGTGGCTTCTTCCAGTAATGCATTGCAGTAATTGTAGAGCCTGGAACATGCAGTAATGATTTTTGCATATGTCACTGCAAGAAATACTGTCCTGCTCGTGTTACTTTATTAATTTTTTTCCACAAGGAAATGAAAAACTCCAGTTCAAACATTTAACACAGTAGAGGTGACAGAGAATATTAGCGCCGACTAGCTACAAATTACTTTTTCTTAAAAGTAATTATTGTTAAATATCCTTCCAGTTTTCCACAGTGAAGTTAAAAGAACATTACACAGTGTTGTCATCTTAGTTGGCCATGTATAGTCAAGCTTTTTGATTTCTGTTCAGACATGTAACGCATAAGGGCTATAATAGATACAACTCCTAGTGTTGCACAGATTTACATAGCAAACTGAAATGCCGTTAAGAGCCAGATACTCAGCTAGTGTAGATATAACTTCAGCACTACACTAATTGTATGAGACATGTTTCTGGCCCATAAAATCAGTGTTCTTGAGGAATTTTTTTTGAGGGATAGCTACTTAGCTCTTCTACGTTACATAGGAACCACATGTGTTTGGCTGGGATGATCCTATAATGTAATTTTTCTTTCAGTACTTAATCAGTAGGTGAAAAACTGTTGGCCGCTTTGACCCACTTCTTTGGCATCTTGTTCTTTTTATTTGTATATAATGTGTGTGTCCGTTTGTATAGTAGCTGAAATTCAAATGCTCCATTCCTAAGTGTGATGCAAAGAATAAGTCTTGAACTAATGTGTGGAAAGAGAACATATGGAATAGCATCAAAGCACAAGGGTGCAGTGGACTACAGTTACCAAATAATAACCTGAATTCAGCCTATTTTTCTGTTCAGCAGTCACTAATAAGATTTTTTTCAGCTTTATTAACTCACTTTTTGCATATGTTCAAATGATTTCGACAAGTGTGCTCGTAACGGCAAGTTGTAAATGCAGACCTGTAAACCCTGCCCTGCCTGTGACCGCGCAGCTACAATAGCACCGCTACATTGAGAAGACCTGGTGGCAGCTGTTTCAGAGGGAGTTGGCAGCTAAACGGCATTGTTATGGTTCCTGTTCAATGTATGCTTCTTCAAAGCAAAAAGACAGTATTTTTTCATCATCGCTTCCTAGTGGAGATACTGCCTGTGTTCCTGGATCTCCAGAAGCTTCCAGCTCTCCCCTCTTGCTTCTTTACCATAGCATGTGTGTCTTGGTCTAGTGTGTTCCTCCTTCCATTCATACCACCTACCACAGCAAGTTGCAAGGATGATAGGGTGTAAATGGCAGGATGTACCCAGGTTGCAGGTACTGACGTTAGGAGGAATTTTTACCTGCCCAGATTTTCTTAAGCTTCTGCAGGGAGCATAAAGCAGGCAAGAGAACATAAGTATACCTCACTCAAAGGTCACTAGAAGGCTTCTGTTTTCAATGCAACGATAGCAATGTTGAAGTTGCTCTAAAATTGGGTTGACTCATGTTTTATAGGCATTATAAAAATGTTAAGAGGAAAGCACATTTATTGGATTACTGTAAAATACTATTGTAATAACTGCAGTGTACTGCAATCTCCCGTAGTATATGCGAAGAGAACAGTTACATGTTCAGAATATATCATTAAAAAATGAAATGGAAAAATATTTGAGAAAGTAGTTAATATACCTGTAAAGAACAACTAAGCTCTTTTAATATTGAAAAAACCCCACCCTAATAGCATCTGACAGTAGGTCACACTGTGGACTAAGTATCTGGAAAATAAACAAGTTAAGGGCCAAATAATTTTTCTGCATGAAGAATTGAGGGATTTTTTTTTTCCTTTGCTAGAATGCAAGGAATGTCCAGCCTGGTCTGTACTGCTCGTGGAGGATCTAGGAGGGCTTTGAGGTGGTTACAGTGAACTCTCGTGTTTTAACTGAAGGTTAGATCAAGGAACTTTTTCTTGGTTGAAGGCTGAATAAACCTTTCAGGCTGAGCCGCTCATTGACACATGCCTTACTGTTATCCCGAAATAATGTGTCTCCCCGAAAAATATCACTGGCCGGTGGGCTGCGCAGTGTGTGCTTGCAGGCTCTGTCAGGCCCACAGAGCACGTATCCTCCACAGTCATCCATGTCAGACCTTTGTCTTCAATCTTGCAAGATGGTTATTTGTCCTTGAACAAAATCGACCGTTTTTCATAACCTAACACTTTGTCACGACTCCTGTTAGTTACTCAAATTTGTTAACAGGGCAGTTACGGGACAATTATACCCTAGTTCCAGAGCAGCCCTGACTTTTCTTCAAGAGGTCACCCCTGCAACCCTTCCTGCTACTACAACCTTGCCACCTACACCCAATACATAAGGAAATCAAATCTGTTACTCTCAGTCTTGAACAGATTTCCAGTCATTAAGGTCTTTGAACTTTAGCAAAATCTGAATTTTTACTGTGAAGTTCAGCCGGGGGACATTTTGTGGGATAAATATTTTCCTTCTAGGTCATAGATTATAAGGAAACAAAGATCCAGCCAATTCTTCTTGCTCTGTGTATTGTCTCTTAAGGCTTAGTTTGTCGGATGAGTTAGGATAAAGGCTGTTTCTTATGCATTCACTGATAATCACACATGAAAGCATGTCCATAATAATATTTTTCTGTAGATCTTAATTCATTCTAGAATGCTATTATTTTAATATTCTCTGTTACTTCCCTGAAGAACAGACTATCCCACTGCAGTGCATATGGAATCCCTATAGAAAAGGCCACTAGCAGATCTGCATGGAAAGTATGGGTTATTGCAAGAAAGCTATTTTTTCCCAGAACTTTTCCAGTCCACACTGAGAAAGGACAGAACAGATTGTAGGTGGAGGCAAGGACCCATGAATGATTAATATTTGCTACCTGGAAGGCAATGCTTAGTCTTAGCAACCAAAGGCGAAGCGTCTGGGTCTGTCACTGAGCACTACAACTGCTACTGGTTGCTACTATTTTTAAATGCTGCTGTTGAAAGAAAAGTTGGTGCTGGACAATCAGTCTCAAGGGGGCCATAACTGAGCCACGTATTGGTAGCTTTTCCTCTTTGCTGTTTGTTTTAATAGCTGGCTAGGAGTCTCCAAAGTACAGCTGTTTCTTCTAAGAGATTGTGTTTTGTGTGTGTGAATGCAGCATTTAATATTGCATAAGGAAGGGCCGGCAACAATCCCTGGCCCAATGTGTACCTTGGTCTTGGACACTCAGCTTGCGGTAATAAGTGAGGAGTTCTGCATTTTTCTCCTTTTTAAGACTTATTTTTTCAAATGCTCTAGCTTCGCTTATAATAGTGCACCAATCTCACTAGCCTGGGTTAGCTTATTCAGAATTGACCAAGAACTCTGTTTTAAAATTATTTTTTATTATAATCCACCTACTCACCTACCCTCTGTAAAGCTTTCTTGAATTACTTACTGTGGTACAAAACTTGTTCTTTCTGTTTGTGCCTCTGTTCAGTTGTTAATCTAAGCCAAGAGCGCTCGGTTTGCATATCTGACAGATAATTAGAGGTTCCAGTTGATCAGGTCACCTTTTCTGATTCTTCCTACTGCTCACACCAGTCTGGGAGCATTCCCCTGCTGCTGTTTGACATTGTGGCTCCCATATTTGAGGCTATACGTGTCCCCGTCTTTTCCCATACATCCTTGCTGCAACTCCTACTTTCCACTGACTGTCCCTGGATTAGGAGAGGGATGAGTTCGGCAGCACAGGGAGGGAGGTCATGGGGTGCCAGCAGAGCTGTTGTACCTGCAGTGCCTACCTGGCCTCCAGCGCAAACAGGAGGCAGCGACTGTGGACCAAGGGCCAGCTTGCTAACGAGGATGTGCTTCATTGCAGTTGACCAAGCAGTCCAGATGTGCGTGCTTTCCAGTTGTTGGCTGCCTAACTATCAGGCATGCACTGGTCTGGCAGCAAACCCTTCTCTTCCCTGAGCTTAGTCAGACTTCACGTACTGATTTACGAGCCACCAGCCAGACAGCTACATCACGCTTTGAGCCATATATTGCTCAACTCTGATTTACATCAGCACTGTGTCTGAGCAGCATATTTATGTAACCTGCATTAGAGCTGGGTGGCTGTTGTCCCCTCTAGTAGTTGGCAGCAGAAAGAATTATGGGTTAGCAGATGACTTTGCATGTAAAATTTGCTGTCCTTCCTTTTAAGGTAGGTAGGAGCCAAAGAGCATACGGGGTAACAGGAAGAACTCTGTCGCACTGAATACTTAAATAGCATCAGAGAATCATTTTCAGACTCCAGGTCTGCAGGAGGGCACAAAGTTATTAGGTATCAGCGGGCAGGAGGTTTTTTCCCTGGAATGAACACCTGTGAAATATTTGCTGACTTCAGTCATGCAAAATGCCTGATGTGATGTCAAGTGAGTGCTAATGGGGCAAGGACAGTGATCAATCTTGTCATAGCTGCTAGTGTGATCAGCTCTTCTAACGTAGCGTTATCACCTTTTCACTAGGCTGCCAACCATAGTATGGACAACTTGCAAATGTTTTACATTCTGACCATGAAGGCAGAGGCAAAAATATTTTAATTACAGGTTTTGTTTGTCTTTAACTGTAATCTGGAGTTTTTGCCTTTTCAAAAATAACCAACATCCAGGCAATTATTCAGTTGCATTACAGCATATTTTCTGTATGTATATTGTTTCAGCAACTATTCTTGCCATAATTCAACTCCTCAATACTTCTCATTAGACTGCAACAGTTTGTCGTACTTTACTTTAGAGATTAATTTCAGGCACTGGAGTTTTCAGATTTCAGTCAATTTTTTTTTCAAATACTGTTGCTTTTAAGTATCCTTTTCAGTTTAAAACTTGGGCTTCATATGTGTTTCTGGTTTTTAAGACATACCAGAAGAAAAAAACCTGAATTCTGTCTGGGTCTTCTGTGTCTTCTGAAATATCCTACCTTACTGATGAGTGTGACAATAATATGAATGGAATTAAGTTCCCATATGGTTGAGTTACCAAAGCTACAATATTGAAATCCCCATGTCTTCCTTATACTTAATTCTGGGTCATCTAGTCAGATCATTGAATAGATGTTTATGCCTTTCACACTAGCTCTCAGACTCTTACCTTTTGAGGGTTGTCTTCGCAGGTAGACCAAGGAGAGAAATCCTTTTTAATATCTGTTATTCTTTCATTAAGTTATGATCCTGAGGTGTAAAAGAATCAGTCTGAATTAGATCTGGCATCCCTGTAGTAGCCATACAGTAGTACAGCAGACCCCTGGATTCCCAGTCTCGTAACGCTGTTCAGAGTTAATGGGAGCTGCCTGTCTGTTGTCCATCAAGAGGCACCCAAATGCTTGTGCCCACGTTGTTAGGAGCCGTGCTATAAAACTTGACCTGAAGTCCTCTGTGCCTCTGTCTCTGTAACTTTCAACTGCTTGCATAGTGGCTGTTGGACCTAGTGGCTATTTTCTTCATGTGCATTTGTGAAGTGGTATTCAGTTCCTCCCACGATTGGGCTCCTTAGGCAATCAAAATACTTCTAACAAAGGAAAACGTGCAGAAATGTCGAATTCCTGTTTTCCAATTGCCAGATTTCCTGCAACCAGGAAGACAGGGAATATGAAAGTGCTGGTATTTTTTCTTGTGTTTTTATTGAATTGGATACTTAGATGTTTTGAACAAATTAAAAGCAAAACATATTGCCATCCTTCAGGACTTGCTAAAACCACTTCATAGTTGCAAAAATTCAGCAGTCTTTTAAGATGGAACTGTGAAGCAGGGAACAAGAGCAGCAGTTATTTCAGCCAGCTTTCTTCCTGCTTTTATTTTTCTTTGCTTGGTTCTCATTATTGTCTCCTTGCTAATTACACTTCTGAAAAATGTGATGTTAATATTTTTAATCACCGTATCCATAATACAATTGTTGTGTTCAAAATAGACAAAAATTCTCTATTTCCTGTTATTATTTTCACTGACAGAGGTTTTAATCCCCTTTCCTCACCAAAATAGAAAACTGTACAATTTTGAGTCTCAAACTGCATGTGTACGGAAGGTGTTGTCTTCCTAAGGAATACCTTTCTAGACAAAAATGTGCTTAAAATGTAATTAAGATGGTAAAATACTGTTTGCAGTCTTCCTCAAGCAGACTCAGAAGCCTGATACTATTCACAAAGACTTCGAATGGGGGGTGAAGGGAAGAGGGAGAATGAGCATCCAAGGAAGGATGACTTGCTTTCAACCTAACTGTTGTAAATTCTCATAATTTTAAATATGAAAGTGAGTAAGAGCTGATCAGATTTTCACACAGAATATTTTTCTATCAGAAAGTGATGATTTGTTTTGGAAAAAGCCTAAATGACATCTTAAGGCCTTTTTAGAACGTAGATTTATGTCAAGGAAGGAAAGACAGGAAAGTTCAAAAAACCACAGTTAAATTAAAACAGTTTAAGAGAACATTGTAGTTCTTAGAATAAAAGCTTGGAAATGTAACATTGAGCATCCGCACCTTTCATAGAGCTCAGTATTTGAGTTGTATCAAAAAGCGAATATATGTACAGGCATTCCCACAGGGTCTCCCATCTCAGGCAGTGTTGTTTCTGAACTGTGCAATGGAAGGCAAACTGGAAAATACTCGTATTTCCGCGGGTGCCAGCAGATGGGCTGCTACAGTCAGTTTTGAGTAGTCTGAGATGCTGCTGTGTGTTTGCTGCTAGCTACTTGCTTTTCACTACTGAAGGTGTCACCTTCAGCTGAAAGGGATTACAACAGGTTTTAGCTCAGTTACTGTAGCTTGGTTGACACGGCAGTAAATTCCTGTATCATCCCAAAGTACTTAGGCTTGACTGCAGGAAGACATTTGACTATGGTGTATGACATATAACCACATCAGGAGTAGTTTAAATAAAGAAAGTTGGATTGTTATCTTCTGTTGGTACCCTGCATTATCAGAGTGGAGCTTGTAAATATATTTTCTGGTCTGAATCTAAAACCAAAGTATTTGTTTCCAGTATGGAAAACATTCTAGTATCTCTGTCTAGGTTCTTTATGTTTTTGCTGTGTTGAAGCATGGCATGTGAAGATCTGTGGTTGAAAATGGAGAAGGCGTGTGTGGAAGGGTATAACAGAGGACATAAACAGTTAGAGCAGACAGATGCAAAGTCAAAGTTATGGTTCTACAAGACACTCTTGCTTTGAATTTTGAAGCTTTCTAAAATTTGTTTAATGTTTTATGGTATTTTAACGATCTCCTAATTTATCAGGTGCTTTAAACATTTATGCCTCCACTTTCTAAGTTTGAGGATTTCATTGTCTATTTAAATAACTGAAAAAGTACAAAAGGATTTACTGTGAAGTGTAACATTTCCTTCTTTTAAGGTCTGTATGTCACCGCAAGTACTTGTGCTACCCCTGTATGGGCCATTTACTTGCATTTTGTAGGCTTGTTGTGCTAGCTTCTGTATGAAAGGTGTTAAAAAATATTTAGACACCTATTATTAGAGGTTACATTTTGATTAAAATGATTAAAATTTTCCACGGATTTTGCAGTACAGGGTTAACTTGTTTCTGTTAAATTTAATCCTTTCTAGGGTGAAGTTGTGGAATTCCTTGATGAGCTGTTAGAAGTAGAGGAAAAGAAGGAATCCTGATGATTGAAATCACCACAAAGTATTATACAAGAGTGAACACTCACCATTTGTCCTTACTATTGGTTTTGGTCACCTGTAGTTCCAGTTAGATATACCTCAAAGCTGCTCCTTTAAGCTCCGCCTTATGTCACAAGATCCACTCCTGAAAGATCACTTCCATGCTGCACTGACTCCTCCGTGAGCATGGTTTTTTACTGTGCCTTTAAAGAATTGGTGCATATGGTTTTTCCTTGTGAGCTTTCGTTCCTTTACACAAAGACAACAAAGCAGACTATTTGTATTTTCTGGGCTAACACTAAGGTTCCTCCTTTCAGTGCTGTTCCACTAAAGTTATAACAGTACAGCTAAATTCCAAAGAACTTTTTTCAGATTATGAACCACAGAAGACATAACAGTTCCTTTCCGAGCTATGTATTGTGTTATTTATATACCTTTTTTTCTGTGATGATGAATAAAGTGATACTGAACCCCGGTGCACCTGAAAGATGTTAAGATACATTTAAATAGATGAAATAAGATAATTAACAAAGCACAACTAGCGATCTTGTAAAAATTGCTTGAAGAGTTCTGTAAGCAGTGTTGATCTTTCTTAAAAACTAAATGAAATTCCATTATGTGAAACTGAGGTCATTTAGAACTGAATAATAAATAATTCCTTCTTCCTACCATTTCTTACTCTTTCTATTGAAACAACTTGTGGTTCCTGTGTGAGGTGAGGCCAATCTTGTATAAAATAACTATGGTCCATGTTTTTTGTATTCTCTTCTGTAGAAAACAGTTTGTATGGGGTTTTTTTTCTGTTTTGTGGGACTATCTATCTGCATAGTTTTCATCCAAAAGTAAGTACAGGTGGAGACTGAGGCAATTTTAAGTGGAATCATGAAAAATACTTGCACGTGAATTCCTGACACTTCTATTAACTATATGGCAGTCCTGTACAGAAGTACTTTGAAGGCCCAAAAAATACCGTGTTAGAGATGAGTAGTGAATAAGTGCACTAGGCTACTGAAGAGAAGAAATCCCATTGACCTCAGAGCAGGATCCAGGATTTCATCCTTTGCTTTCCTCTTTCAATTTTAAGGAACAAGTCCTGCAAGTGGTTTCATCCTGCTTACATCAAGGGGAGACAAGTGCATTCGGTGCTTTTATAACCATACACTCATTCAACTGAGTGGAAGTGAATTGCAAAACCAAAATCTGCTTTAGGTTTTTAAAAAGGCAAAGCATGATCTACACTACCTTGCTGAGTTGTTGCCACTACAGCTTATGTAGAACTATAGTGTCTACACTATTGAGTGTCTACAGAGAACGAGAAGGGGAATCCACAGGATCAGGTTTAAGTGTCCTCCAGCCTGTGACAGCAGTGAAACATTTTAAAATGTTCAGTTTGTATGTGAAAGATGTTTGGAAGATTGGATTGGGTTTTTTAGCTTCTTTAATATAAATCACAACTAACCTGCTGAAGTTGATGGGCAGACCATTGTATTCTCAAAATTAAAATCTATCTTTTTAACTTCTTGCCTTTTAACTTCATGAGATTTACACAGCTCCACTTGTGGTAACAAGACCAGAATCTGGCCTTGAACATACAGAGGGCATATCAGATTTCCTTATGCTTTTTGTTCCACACAATATTAGCACTCAATTTATTGTAATTTTATGTAAGAATTTGACTTTGCCTTTAAAACTTACAAGTAGTTGATTGTAAACTATCGCTTACTTCCGCATGAAATACGTGTATTATAATACCCAGCTGGGGCAGCTTCTCCAGTCTGTCCCTAGTTTTCTCTTGCTGGAGGTGTGTGTATGCTCAAGGGAGAGGTTACTGCTCTGAAGGCCTCTTTTGTCCTTCTGCTTTGCAATCTGCGTAGGATAACTCCAGATTTCCTCCTCAGGAACTGCACCATTGATGTTAACATCATACGCCCAAATAACGTCATCTTTGATTCTCTAGCTTTCAAATCCAGAAATCTCACCATTAAAGGGCATGGAGTTGGTTGGGGGTGGATGGATGTCTCTACACTGCCTTTGCGTTACAACATTTTTAGCTTACTTTTTTCTTATTACCATTTACCAAACTGAATTGGGAGCTCTGGCAAGCACTGCCTATTGTTTGGCTCTTTGTTTCTGTGGTGCCCTGGCTCTTGTGTGCTGTCTGTAGGTACTGCAATGCACAACCTTAAAGACTTCCAAGAGATGGGCCTATAATTCAAGTTCCCAGGCCTGAGGTTTTCCATAACTCTGCGTCTTGTGTGGGAATAACGTGTGTGCATAAAGCTTCTGATCAGATTTTGCCTGTTGGTGAAGCAAGTAGCATACGCTACAGTAGGTACCAGCCAACAGAAAATCACTTCAGGATCTCTTTGGTTTGCCACCCAAAGTTATTTCTTTCCAGTTAAAGAACTCCCTTCCCCTCTCCAGCACACATTGTTGGAGATTGCTATAATCTTTTTCAAAGAAGAATGTGGTAAAATATTGTAGTATTTTTATTCCACCCGTAAAACACTGAGCACCAGAGTCAACCTGTTTTGTGATTCATTTGACTGCAATGGGTTACACTGGGGATACATTTAGCACCTATGAACCCTAATTTTTCCTCCTCATCAAACAGTTATTCAACCGTTGCAAGTCTCTTGGGTATTATTAATTTTCCGTTTAGCTTGTGAGTCTGTCTTTAAGGCTTCCTTAACTGATCTCTTCTCATGTTCAGTCATTTCCTCAGCTCTCGACCTTACAGCTAAAACCCCCTGCCATTATGCCTTCTCAGGTGGGGATTTCATGATTTACTAAGATGTCCAGTAGCCAACGATTTATTTTTCTTCAGCCTATGTTAAGTAAGTCTGATGTCCTTTACTGTTCCGTTTAACTTGAGGAGGCAACTGATACTCTTGCGGCCTCCTGAAATGGCACTGTGATCCCTTTTTCATTTTGTTCAAGTGTCTGTGGATTTTTTCTGGCTTTCTTAATTTCCACTACATATGGTCCCAAGCCAGTTCAATCTTAATAAGTACAAGTAGTTCTCAAACCTTTGTTCTTTTCTAATGAGAAATAGCTCCTCTTCCAGTTCTTTAGTATTTATTGTGGCTTTTTTCAGCATTCTCAGGTTCTTTTAACTGATTTTTCTTTTGCTGCTGCTATTGTTAAATGCCAACATTTACATGTGACTGCAATAAATTAATGTCTTTTCTTCCACTTCTCTGATCCTGCCAGCTCTTCTTGGGAGGCTGCAGGAATATGGTTCTTGCCTCCCTTCTGCCACCCCAAATTCTTGCAGTTGTGAGTTGTCCGCCTCAGATGTTAGCAGATTCTGCCTAACCCAATGGGATATTTAGATTTAGCCTTCATTTCTTGTTTTGACAAGGCTTCCACTGTGATGCTGATGCTCAGGAAAGTGTCATGTTCTTGAAGTCGCCACATTCATGTGACTGACGAACACAGCATCGGTACCATGTGTCTGCTGACACTAGAGATAAAATTCACATGAACCTCAGTGGTAGTATTGCTTGTTGTTGAACTGTCCAATTACACTTTTTAACAATTGCTCACATTTCTCATAACAGAGCTGACTGTTTGGGTAGCTGCTGTTGACCTCTGATCCCCACAAGCAAGTCTGCAATAATTCTGAGCATGTTGTTCAGTCACCTTTTATAGGTGAATGGAGAGTGAAGTCCATCTTCTGGCAGATGACTAGCACAAGGGTCCACACACAGTGCAAGTCGTGTGCTTGATCTCTTGTTGGATGGGGTCCTGTGTGATGGGGAACTCCTTGAAAAACTGAAGATTAAACCGAGTCACAAATGCTGGCGCACTGAAGTGGATATTTGGTTACGTGAAAAACAGGATGGCCTGGGACCTGTACTGTTCAACATCTTTGTCAGCGACATGGACAGTGGGGTTGAGTGCACCCTCAGCAAGTTTGCCGATGATACCAAGCTGTTTGGTGAGGTAGACACGCTGGAGGGGAGGGATGCCATCCAGAGGGACCTGGACAGGCTGCAGACGTGAGCCCAAGCCAACCTTACACAGTTCAACAAGGCCAAGTGTGAGGTCCTACATCTGGTTCGGGCAATCCCAAGCACAAATACAGGCTGGGCGGGGAATGGCTGGAGAGCAGCCCCAAGGAGAAGGACCTGGGGGTGCTGATTGACGAGAAGCTCAACATGAACCAGCAATGTGCGATCGCAGCCCAGAAGGCCAACCGTATCCTGGGCTGCATCAAAAGGAATGTGGCCAGCAGGTCAAGGGAGGTGATTCTGCCCCTCTACTCCACTCTCATGAGACACCACCTGGAGTACTGCATCCAGCTCTGGAGTCTTCAACATAAGAAAGACATGGACCTGTTGGAGCATGTCCAAGGGAGATCTTATTGCGGCCTTCCAGTACCTAAAGGGGGCCTACAGGAGAGCTGGGGAAGGTCTTGTTACTAGGGCATGACGTGATAGGATGAGGGGGAATGGCTTTACACTGGAAGAGGGCAGGTTTAGATTAAACATTAGGAAGAAATTTTTTCACTTTGAGGGTTGTAAGGCACTGGAACAGGTTGCCCAGGGAAGCTGTTGATGCCCCATCCCTGGAGGTGTTCAAGGCCAGGCTGGACATGGCCTTGGGCAACCTGGTCTAGTGGGAGGTGTCCCTGCCCATGGCAGGGGGGTTGGAACTCGATGATCTTCAAGGTCCCTTCCAACCTAAAACATTCTATGATTCTATGGCTGTTGGGACAACATTTCTTATGTAAAAAACAAAGTTTGGGCAAGGGAAGAGATTCACAGGTTGGAAATCAGTGTATCTGACAGACTGTGCTAAGTATGTCATCTTTTTCAAATTAATACCTGCTCTTACTAATTCATCCTTATATATAGCAATATTCATTAAAAGAGGGAGAAGGGTGGTAGTGACTTTTCTGCTCGAAGTTTAATTCTGTTCCCGTAAAACAGCATCGTAGGCTCCACACTTCTGTGTCTCGGCAATTCCAATAGCCAATAAAGTCAGCTATGAAAAACAAATACTTTCAGAATGATCGGTTCTGGCAAATTCAACGGGAATTCAGATGTCCTGCTGGGCTTTTTCATTCACTGTAGCGATTCTGCAAGCAGACCTTCATTAATGCTGTTGATAATGCATGAGCCAAAAGCAAATTCAAATTGCTCTATTTTCCAGAGCTTTACTGCTTTGGAATGCTAAAATATAAACCAAAAAGTTTGTCGGATGCTGTTCTCAATTCACCTGGAAAGCCCGGCCAACCATTTTTTTGTAGTTGCCAGAGTAAGTTTGAGGTAGAATGAAAGGTGTGTCTCCTCAAGACAAGCTATTCCTCTTAAAATCCCATAGTGTGTCCTGCTTTACAAAGCTTTTTCTCAATACAGTCTTGCAATTAATGTCCACCACGTGTCTCCACATCCTTTACAGTGAATAATTGGTCTATATTGATAATGACGGCAGACTTAGAAAACCTTTCAATTTCTAGAGAGTCTT